AACTTATATCATACCTGCATCTAAATTAATTTTTTATAATTCAGTCAAAAATATATTATTTTTATATTAAAATTAAAAAATTTATAAAAAAATTACTAACTATTTTGAAAACAAATAATATTGATCAATAAAGTAAAAACAAATCTTTTACTAATTAAACTAGAACTTAAGGGTTGTGCTTTAATAGCGGGAAATTTCGCTCACAACTCCATTATTTTATTTTATGGATTTTCTAAGGGCAGGTTACTTTTTTATGGCTATAAATTAACTAATCCAGTTTACTCTAAAATCATGTGAACGACGGGATGATACCTATTGTATCAATGACTTTCGTCGAAATCTACGGGTCCTTAAAGAATATCAAACAGCTAGCTTTCATTAAGTAGAATTTTTATATATATGGACCAAAAGTATATTACAATTTAGAAGCCTAAAGAAACCCAAGCAAACAGAGAAAGGAAAACATTGTACCAATAGCAGATACACACCTTATTAATTAAAGCAAGATGCAAAACAGGAATTACACAAACAAAAGGATCGATTAGAAAACATTTCAAACTAGACTACGCTTGCACTCTTAACACTTTACACTTCTCACACACCTGGATACCATCTGCTGATCTACATCGTTTCCTACATACTAAAGGTTTCTGGCACCTTCAAGACCGAGGGAAAATTGTGAATGTTGTTTGCAACAGGGTACACAGAAGCAAGAAAGCTGCAGCAAGAACGGAGATCAACGCCCATGGACTGTTGAAATAATTGTGCCTTAGGCTTGCCATCGTTTTGTTGCAACGTCTATTGTAATGTTCGTTGACCTCTTTAAATAACTGGGCATAAAAGAAATTTTCTCCCATCATAAGTTCAGTTCCAAGGCTGTTAATCATCGTGGCAACTTCTTCATAACTGCCCAACCAGTGCTCAATTATCCCTTTGCGACAAAGTAACTCCACATCCTTTCCAGTATTGATAAGACCATCCAGGACTTTTCTATATTCAGTTAAGTGTTGTGGAGAATTATAGTCATCAAACTGTTCACAGGCAATGAAATTGCGATACAATATCTCAGTAGCATCATCAATTGTCAGTTGTGGAATTTCAAGTGTCCCATTTTCAAACCTTATATCAAACAAGTTGCGATTATCAACCTTCTTGAACTTTATTCCCGCCTCTCTTAGTTCTGTGGCAGAAGGTATCAAAAAGCGCCCGTTTCCATCTTGAACGGTCGAAGAACCAGACTTTGAATCTTGTGGAGGACGCCAAATATTGGTGCGTAATAAGTCTGGCAGATGCCTAACGTTTGTTATTGGATTTTTATCATAGGTTGGACTATTCGAGGACCCTACCTTATCTTTCGCCCCTAGCAAATCTTCAAACAGACAATGAAAGCAATCAATGTTTTGGAATTGATCACTAAGTACGAAGAAGGGGAGTTGATTCTCTATTAGTATCAAATCTTTCAAAATCTGAGAGTAAATCTGATCTACTTTTAAGAGAGGATCCTGCATCCAATCGTCAAAGATTTTGTAAATTAGCTCAACAATAAAGCATCCATCAAGAACCATCATTTCTAAAAATTCTGAATCAGAAATGCTCAAAGATTCTGAATAACAGTTACGAGCCCTTTCCATCCTATCGCTCATCAACTCCACATATCTTTGAGCACTATACTCACCTCTTCCTCGAAGAAGGTCTTTTAAAAAACGCACCTTGTGTGTTTCCATTGCTTTTAAATGATCTTTTTGACGATGATAAGGGCCAATGGAAATGATTCCAGGTTCATAGGCTTCTTTATTTACCTTGCGTAAATAATGGGGCACTTGAAAAATTCTGGGCCATGAAGACTGTTCGTCAGGAAGGCGGCTTATCCTGCCATCTATATCAACCTGTACGTTGTTTTTCCTTCGCTCCTCCATCCCCTGATACAAAATATAGAAATTTTAGTTTGTGACTAGCTTGGACATATACTTCGGATTCCAATTGATAAAAGAGATAAGGTAAGTTTTCAGATAGAGAAAAATAAATGCAAAATAAGCAAATGTAGAACATTCCTGAGAAAAAGTTTTACCAGAAACCCAAAGATAAGAAGAAGTTAAATCATTGAAGCAATTCAATCAATAAACTTATGATACACTTCTATCCAAAATTTTTTTTTTAAAAAAAAAAACTTATGATAGACTAAGTTAAATCAACTGCGATGAGAAATTAACTTTAAATGACTGTATATATCTATAATAAAAAAAAAGAAAATTGTAAAGACGTCTAATTCCAGCTACATAATACGACCTATCATTGTTTGAGCAATATATAGAAGCTTACGTGTGGTTTTTTTTGAGGAGATGAAGACAGTACCGCTTAAACAAGATAAAATCTAGTCTATGATATAAGGACTTATCCACAGCCAAATGGACGTGGAAGAGATTTGAAGATAAAGGAACGAGTCATCATAATATATACACAAATAGAGCTTGCCGACGTAATCACCAAAAAATATATATATGTCACCAAATACGTCATCAATTCTTTTTTTTTTTTATGTAAAATACAAGCAGGTGTATATTTTACCTGAGCAACTCCTGTCTTCAGGAATTGCATGAAACAATTTTTGTATATTTTAAAAGTGATCCATCTGAAATGAATAGATTTTCTTTTCTTTTTCTTTTCGTTTTTTGGCTTTTTTCTTTATTATTCCCCATCCCCATTCCCCTTTGTATTAAAAAAACTTACAAGCAAGTATTATTATAAGTACACATAATATACATTGCAAAAATTAATTACAGATATATAATTCGAGAAAATACATCATCTATTCTTGTTTGATTAAGAAAAAGTGATTATTCATTATTCAAACCACACTAAAATAAGGTAAATTAGAGAGAATATTAAATATGGTATATTTATAAGAAAGATATTGATAAGTATATATTTTAATTCAATACGTTGCATAATGTATTTATTAAAAATTATTATTTTTTAGTATAATATTAAAGATAAACAAATTTAAGGTGCAACTATATACGCATGATATAAAAACATGTTAAATCGATTATATTTATATTATATTTTTTATTATTAA